TCTCCTTAGTATCAATAACACTTAAAGCATCTGTCAAAAAAATCATATACACATATATAAAGTGATTAGTAAGTGTAAAAATGTAATATATAAATTAAATTAAGAGACATAAAATTGAATATATTACCTGCAACATTAACTACATTGTCAGTCTTTTGAAAATTGTCAACCTCATGAAACATAAAGACAAATTCTGAGAGAGATTGCCCTGTAAGTAGCCAATTCTGGGTACAAATGAGTGCTTCAGTCATCTTATAAAAAAAACTCCTATAATCATCAACAACACGTCTCCAGTGCTAAAAGCTGATTCACAAGCAATTGTAGATATTGGTATAGCCAATACATCTCATGCTATTAAGGAAAGCACTCTGTACTTGGTAGAATTAACCTTCCACCATGTCAAGATATCAAAATCATCATTATCATCATCATCAATAGGGGTGTTCTCAGATGTACTAGCAAAAAGGTATTTATCCAACTCTGATTGGGTATCAACTGATGAGCTTTTTTGCTTCTGGGATGCTAACCATCTACAATCAGGGTCTTTTTTACCTTTACTTGCATTTTTTTTGAATAGATACCTTTACTTGCATTTGAAATGTTGGTGTCAGGAGCACTTGGAGAGTTGACACTAGCAGAACTACTTGTATCAGGACCAACTGTTGCAGAGTATTCCTCAAATAGGTGATACAAAGTGTCTCTTGCCTTGTTCTTCATGGACATGCAAAGGTCAAGGGCAGGAACAAGCTGATCAAATACATGATTGATATAGGCAAGCTTGTATCGAGGATCAAGAATCATAGCAATAATCAACAAAGGGTTCAAATTATCTGCTGCCCCCCAATACTTATCATATGTACTCTTCATACTCAAAGACATCTCTCTAAGAAGAGGGTCATCACTTTCAATGTTCTCATCTAACAACTCTTAAATTAAAGCAATTTGATGGAAGCATGTATGTGCAGTAACTTTCAGTGTGCTAGAAAATTGTAAAGTGACATCATAAAACACCTTCAAGAACTTAAGAAAGAACTGTGCTTATTCCAAGATTATTTGTTTAGAAGGCCATTATGCTTAGGAGGAGCTTTCCTAGAGTAAGTAAAAGCATCCATGTTGTCATCAGGTCTAGCACCTTGCCTATAAACATATGCATCCATGCTACCATCTAAACAAGAAAAGTCACTCTGAGCATGACACTTTGAACTTTTGTTGAAGTACCTAACAAAATCTTCATCCTCATCCTCTAATCTTTCAAATGCCTTTTGAAACTTCAAAGCAACATCCAACATTAAATATGTAGAATTCCATCTAGTACAGACATCGATGCAAACAATACTTTTTGTGTCCAACATTTTCAATTCACAAACATCTTTAAATCTTTACAAGTGAGCAGCAGATGAACGAACATATTTAATAGCATTTCAAATGGACTCAAAAGTATCTTTCAACTCCTTCAAACCATCATTAACAACTAGATTAATAATATGTGCAAAGCATTGTAGTTGAAGATAATCACTACCACAAAGCAAGATCCCTCCAATTCTTTAGATGCCTTTTTAAGTAAGACAAGGCTGTGTCATTGGAAGTTGCATTATCCATGGTTATGGTGAACCCATTTTGTATGCTCCGATCTGATAAGCACCTTTCAATTGTCTTGCCTATCGTATCACCCTTACGATTCCCAACCATGTAAAAACTGAGAATCTCCTTATGCAAGTTTCAATCATTATCAATGAAATGGGTTGTCAAACATAAATAATTGAAGTTTTGAACTGATGTCCAGCAATATGTAGTGAGACAAAGATGATTAGTACACTTCTTCAACAAATTTTTTAATATTTTAATTTCACCAAGATATAATCGCCAGGCATCTCTAGCTACTGTTGTTCTTGAAGGGATTTGAAATCATGGTTCCAACTACTTCCCAAACTTTTTAAAGCCTTCCTTTTCAACAAGCCTATATGGCATCTCATCACATATGATGAACTCAACTAGAGCCCTACGACATCATTTCTAATTGAACATGTGAGGTACTAAGCTTCCCTCTTGCCCACTTGGTGTCACATAATTCAACATAGATTGCTTTGTTATTTGTGTAGCTTTGTGTGGATTCTTGGGACACTTTGGTACATGCCTCTTTAAGGATGTTAAACCATGCTTGCCTAGATCACAAGCATAACCTAAATTACAGTACTTGCATGCAGCTCTAACTTCTTCATTTGTCTCCTCTAATGGTAACTTGGTAAAGTGTTCCCACACTTTGGATACCTTTTTTGCAGAATTTTTTCCCTTTCTACTACCTTCTGTAGCTTCATTTTTAGTTACAGTTATAAGAGGAGGAGGACGCTCCATAGTAGTTGGGGGTTGAGGAGGAGGAATAGGTGTCAAAGATGGTCTAAAAGGAGTTGAACTCACATTTTTACTAGTAAAAGGAGATGATTGAGGTTGATCAATGCTGGATATTTGCTCAATATCCATCACTTCACAATGATAAAATATAATTAAAAACATATAATTGATGAGTTATAATAGCACAATGATAAAAAGGAAGCAAAATGGATGAGTTATAACAGTATAAAATCATGGCAAGGAACACAAAAGCCAAAAAATAAGGGCATATGATTGATAAGGTGATTACTAATAATTATATCCACATATCCACACAGAGGGAAATCACAATAGAAAGACTGGAAATTGACTATAGGAAAAAAATTAGCAAGAACAGAAGTAATAAAAATCAGCCCACAAACATGTTCCTTCAAAGTTTGAATAGATCAAGATCAACACAGCTTAATGCAGTCAAATCTCTTTCTTAAAAATTTAACAAAAAAAAAAGCTTTCTTCGAAAGCCACAATCAAGTCATAATGAGTATGAAATAGTCTAGCAATATGAAATAGTTTATCAATATCACAATTTAACCCCAAATCTCTTTCTCTAGAAGAAGAGCATATCATATCAGCACTAATATGAAAAGTTTAGCATCAACCCACAGCCACAAGCAATAAACCGAAGTGCATCTGGGAACTCTTAACAGTTAACATTGATTTTCATATACTCGGCATGCTTGATAGTGCAGGAGCTTGATAGAGGACAGGGCTCGACAATACGAGATCTCGATTGACAGTGAGGCGTGCTCGACGGTGTGAGAGCTCGACAGTGGACAGGGCGAAGGAGAACAGGGGTGATGGCGTGACATACTGGCATACTCGACAGTGCAACGAGCTCGAAAGCACTACATGGTTGGTAATGAATCAAAGGTTAGTGGTGATAGAGAGCAAGGGCGAGCGATGGTGCAATATCACCGACACAATTGATGGTAGTGGGCTGGTGGCGCGTTGGAGGAGGGCAGGGGTTAGGGTTTTGGCGCACTGAAGAAACTGAGAATAAAGCAGAGTTAAGTGAGTGGCTGAGACACTAAGTACTGTTGAGTAACAATGTTGAGGTTTTTTAGTCAGAGTACAAAGTGCAAGGTAGGACTAAGACTTTTTTTCTAAGACTTATCAATTAATAATTTATAAATTAATTTTAATTATATTAAAATAATTATATAGGACCAGACCGAACCACTTAATTCAGATGCTTAGTCTCTAGTCTGGTCTTACTCAAACAATCAATCCTGTCTTGTTGGTCTTTTTGGTTCTATAGGACCAGCATTTTATAAAACTGGACAGGATTAGATTTTCACAAGTCGAATTGGACCGAACTAGACTACAAGACTTTTGCATAGCCCTACTCAGTATTATAAAGTATCCAGTGTTATAAAGCAATCTATTACATAAGCCTAAGGCAAGACATCCAGGTATCTGCAACCATATAAAACAAGGGAAAAAAAAAACAAAGAAAAGTCACATCCTTTATGTAATATGATGAGGATATCAATATTAATGTCATCAATCATTATAGCCAGAAATACTATGGTGTGTATATATACATATAAATTCAAACTCTACACTCATGCCTTTCACCATGACTTTGGCCACTGTTTTTTTTTTTTTGGTTAAAGGGCAATTTTATCCTTCAATTATTTGTATAGGGTGTCTAGTATCATATAAACCTTCTTACATTGCAATATTCTTCTTCAACAATAAAAAATGATAAAAGATTACTTTACTGTTAATAAATATTATCTTTGAATGTTAATTGGCTCAAAAAATAATAATAAGACATAAAATTAGAAAAAAAAAATGATCCAAAAAGTTACAAAAAATATCTCATAAGAAAATTGATAGCGATTAACCCTTTTAGATTACAAACAAATATAAAAGATAAATATTATTTCATATCATATAAAAGACTAAATTATCATTTTGACATACTACTAGATGATTATCATATCATTGTTGACAAAATTACCAATGATTACCTAAAAAATAATATACTTTTGTTAATAATATTTTATCAAAATGTTAAAACTTTAATATCTAATAACTTTTACTAGTGTTGTTATCCACAATGATAATTTGATAATTACTTGATAGTTGGTTAAAGTGGCTAGTCAAAAATGATATTTTGCTCTATTATACGACTAAGAAACATCATTCTTAGTCCCATTCTTAGTCTCTTGGACTTTATTTGTATTTTAAGTGACTTAATGTATATTAACTTTCTTATATAGGGTCCTTTAATATAATTTTTGGATCCTTTTTTCATAATTTTTTGACTCAATTAACGATTAAATTTATTATTTTTAATGATAAAAGAAAAATTATACTGTTTTCAAATATTAAAAAATGATATTGAATTTTATAAAAGTTTAAAATACTAAATACTTCTGTACAAATAGTTGGGCCTAATTGGAAATGAAGCATTTAAATTGACTCAACACAAGTTCTCATGCTCAAACGCCTATTACTGGTTGTGACTAAGACTAAAGTAATTTTTGGTGGGGTGGGGTTGTAAACAAAATAAAGAATGGCCATGAACAAAGAACCAGAAGAAATAGTAACAGCAGCAGCAGCTATAACAACAATAGTAATTACAGCAGCAGCAGTAGAAGTAGCAATAATAATAATAATAACAATGCTAATAATGCAATAGCATTAATTTTTAGAAACAGTGCCAAAAAAATAATGCAGCAATAATTCATTCTTCCTTCTTGATTGCTTATCTTCTATGCCCACCACACCCGTTTTCTTAAAATGATTCAGAGAGCATTTGTTTGACATGATCACAAGCTTTTACTCAGAAACTTATTGGGCCCCACATAAAGGAGGATAGTCTCTAATGGCTGAAACTGAAATCCTTGTCGCAGAAGCTTGCCTTCTACTCACAGTCACAGCCTTCTTCTTCTTCTTCTGAAAATCATTTCTTTTATCATGAGAACAAGCCTCATCACCATTATTACTCTTCTCTTCAATAACTAAGCGCTCTTCATCATCTTCAGGTGTTTGATGAATTATTCTGGCAGTGAATCGGCCACACCCAGGAGGGTAATCTCGAATTGCGGAGTGCTTGCTTCGCTTGTTATTATTAACAATCTCATCGTAAGCTTCCATTAATGGCTTCTTCTTCTTCCTCACCATCACTTCTTCTTCTTCTTCAGAGAGACGACGACCCTCAAGAACTGACGATGATGATGATGTAGCCGTGGGACGTGACCCTCTCGGTCCGTAAAGTTACGTTTGTGTCTTTTTGATCTGTAAACAAGAAAACGTCCGAGAAAATTACACACAGAAAAGGGAAAAACAAGAAAGAAGCATCGTCAAAGCGAAAGAAAATCAGGGAATGAACAAGAAAAGATGAAGAAGATGAGGAAATACATATACCAAAAATGGATTCTGAAAGGAAAATTTGATGAGTGAGAGAAAAATAGAAGAGGAAGAACACGAACGCATGAGATGAGGGCCCTCTTACGATTTTTATAGTTATTCAACTTCTTTTATTATTATTATTATTATTATTATTATTATTATTATTATTTTCCTTGATTTGGAAGACTTGCCTTTTATTTTAAAAAGTTATAAACGAATTTACTTGAATCCCAAGTAACATTGTCCTCCCAAGCCCTAATGCACTTTAAATTTTAACGTTTGGGTTTCCACGCACCCATTAATGAGCTGTCACCCTACCAGAATATAATTTTTGGAAATGATAGTTATATTTCATTTTAAAAAAAAGAAAAAGAAATGACATTTAAAACACATAAGAGGAAGATTAATGATATAAGTCGTCCATAAAATTTTCTGAAAAAACAGTTAGTGAGATGTAATCTTTGAACCATAATATAAAATGTTTTTTTTTAAATTTTGTTTCATCCAAAATACAGGATATTAAATAGGTGTTATATATATATATATATATATATTTTCAATTATACCTTATCTTTATTGAATAATTAATAAGAAAGCTTTGAATAAATTAAATGTTATATTTATTACATTCAAGAGCATTATTGAAAAAATGTGAAATTTTTAAAAAAATTAAGATTTTAATTAATTTTTGTTTAGAAATGTAAACTATTTAATCGTGACTTATATTATGGTGTGAAGGGAGTAAACATTACTTCAAACAATTATAAATTTAAAGTTTTAATTGTAAATAAAATATTTAAATTCTTTTTTTTGGTAAGAAAAAATATTTAAATTTTAAATGCTATTAATTCTTTTTTTAAGACTTTATTTTTATTCTTCCTTTAAATTTTCTTGATTAAAGATACTTTTCATTAACAATATTTATTTAATAATTTTTTAATTCATGTACCCACACAGGCGCACATAATTGTTTTTTTTTTTTTTTAACTCATGTTTCAAACAGCTCTTGGTAACCCATTTATGCCTAACAAGATTCAAATGTAACTCAGTTATTATCAAATATTGTATAAAAATAATTGTTTTGAATTTATTCCTTTATAGATTTTATTATAAATATTAGAGAAAATAAAATTGGAGTCACTGAATATATGAGGCTGTTGTTCCCGTTCACAGCTCCGGAAACTACAGTACTTTTAAGTTGGGTTTGAGATGGGAATTACTAAAGTACATCGGTCACTTTAAAATATTTTTATTTAAGTTTTCGTTATTAAAATATTTTTCAAAAATTTTAAAAATAAAAGTATATGTTTTTGAAAAATAAAAAAGATGGCCTCTAATCTCTAGAGGAGCCTAATTTTTAGCCTTAAGAGAATAATACTTCAAATAAATATTAGTGTACTTTATTTTTATTTATAATTTTAAAAACTGTAAATATTTTAAAGGCTCAAATCAGAGTTGAGAGTTAATCATACTAAATTATCATAAGTGTTTTAGACTCTCCATACATGATAAAAGGAATTCCTAGCTGCTTTTTTTTTTTTCCTTTAAATATCTTGTGATTGGCATTTTCATGATTTTTGGCATTCATAATTTTGATTACCAAATTCCCACAAGTAAAACAACATTGAACATTCATCAAAACTCTAAATGAATCCACATAAGCCACATTTCAAATTTTTTGGGAATTAACATTCCTAGAGGGATAGGATAACAATTTGTTCCTAACCAATTGTACATGAAATGGGAATCTCCATTCCATTCCAATCTCTATTTACATTCAAATCAGCCAAATGGGACATCATATTTCATACCATCCGTGTATATTGTCCCAAGTAACGAGTAATTTTGTTTCAAAACTTGAAAATTTTCATTCTAAATTGTAAGGCCAAACACACTCTATATAAGATCCAATTTCACCACTCATGATTTTCACTATCCATCCAAACAAGTTAAGAAACATACAATACAATGACTTCTTTCGCCTCCATATCTTTCCTCTTCTCTTTGAAGGCTCATGTGAATAACCGTTTCAATTTACTTATTTATTTTAAAAGTCCGAAAAGCAAATTAGAATATTAAGTCTAACCCATCAAAATTTAATCTAAAAGGTATAGTTTTACAGGAGAGAGAAAAGCCATAAAGATGCCGCTATGCAAGCTAATCTAGCAGAGGGGCTAAACTCGCATCAAACTTTTTTTTTTTTTGCCTTCTCTCTGTGGGCCATCACATTTGATAATAGTAATCTCTCTCTCTCTATCTATCTATATATATATATATATATAAATGTACAATACAACATACAAATTATTAAATACTGAAGGTAACCAACGACATGAAGAAATGCTAAGGAACACATCCATCACCACCCAGCAGTTGCAACCGTTATTTGCTTTATTTCAAAACCTGAGTCATGGTTTTGAAAAGGCAGGCTTGACGAGGCCAGGTATCTGCATAAGTATAAGAACAAATAAAAAAAGGTTAAACCCTAATAAGTATTAAGTTCCATGTTCACCTCATAGAGCTGTTCAAGTGATGTAAATCGTTTGTATAATATTAATAAGGTAAAAATACCAAGCCAGGAACATATGGTATAATTCAAAACTCCACCCTCAGATTCCTTTCCCATTCTCGTACTTGTAGCAAAGCTTATTTTTGGGGTTAACAAAATAATGAAACACCAAGAAGCAAAAGAAATAATGAAGTCTTCATTATTTTCCCACGTGCATGCCAGTCATTTTCATTATGTATGCTCATCTCTTGCATCTATAAATACTATGTAATTTGCCTTGTTTCAATATATAAGAATTCGAATATGATTCCCGCATTGGGAAACCTCACAAATGAAATAAGGTTTATAAATTTAAGAGGCTCTCTTACCCAACGGGCTACCCTTTTAGGATAAACTCTTTCTTTAGATTTGTACTCACAACATTGGTCCCTTCGTTGGTCTCATAGGGCTCTTCATGAGAGACCCACAAATGCACGCCTCTATTGTTGGCTAAGGAAATTTAAAACGTTCAACAAATCTATTCCAAGGCACAAGATGCAGCAAAAACTTATGAGCCCAATACCAAATTGTCTCATAGGATTGAACATTGAATTTGATGCAGTAAAAATTCAAATACTCGCTGAGGAGGATCCTTAAATTAGACAGTTGCTATCATAATGGCTGAGGAAGGAAGGAGTGTGATGATTGAAGCCCAAACAATAGAGTTTAGCTTTGGAGCATAAACATGTTATGCAACATCTTGATTAGGTCAAGGGGCAAATTTACCTGCACCCTTTGTGGTGCACCCACTATAAGAAACCTCAATACACTAAGGAGAAATGTTGGAAGTGCCACAGGGACCCACAGATATCAAGAGAAAAGGCTCAACGAAACTCATGACAACTGCAAATTCTAGCAATTGATTGAAAAAACCTACATCAGTGTTGATTTCGACAATGAGAAGATTGAGAAACTAAAGAGCCTATTGGGAACATTGGGCAACAACTAACCCCAAGCACATATATTGGTTCATTGGCACTCTGGTATTATTTTTCCAAATCTTCATCTGTCATTAATTAGCCATTTAATGCATTGGATGAAGTTTGCCTAACTCTGGATCATTTACTCAAGAGCCACATATCATATAACTAATTCTTCATTCCCCTCATGATTCCAATGTTTCAAAAATCAGAAGTCTACAGGGCTGCACAGAGCAGCAGATCAAGCTGTTAGAGAAAAGACAAATGAAAATGCCGCCTTTGCTTTCTCAAGCGCAACAGAAGCTTTTATCTCAGATGAAACTAGGTCAAGGGACTGAGCCTCATAAATGTAATACTTCCAATGAGATTGAAGTTGAGTAAGTTTATTTCTCTGCATTCGGATGATTACTACCTTTCATCAGAATTGGATTTTGGGGGGGGGGGGGGGCCTACTGTCCAAGTGACTGTAATGGAAGGTTAAAGTAATCCATCTTGAGTGGAAAAACTCAAACAAAAAAATTAAATAAATGTTAAAAAAAGCAAGAAAACTAGCAAGCATTAACAATCCTATATGTGGCCAAAACCCTCTTTGGGGATCTACAAAATAGAAACTTTTCCAAGAAGGTCATACATAACACAAAAAATAACAGAAATAATTACCTCAATTCCACGAGAACCTATTCGGTTGCGAGAAATAAAGTTGATTATCAAATTTGCAAACTCATCAGGTACATCTTCCTAAATAGAGGATCAGGCCAGACACCGTTAGATATCAAGTCAAAGAGATTGAGAAAAAAATATAATAAATGCTGCAAGAGACATGACCCGTAAGAACCTGTATAGCATGTCCAGTATGTCTGACAACCACCATCTGAAACTTCCCTTGCATTTGACCAATTGTTAGAGACCTGCCAAAACAAAGTGCCAATCAAATAGCAGAATACTAATGAATTCCATTTGGCACTACCTAAAGTGACATAAATAATAGGAGAAACTATATGTGACAAAATACAGCCCTAAAGACCAAACATTGAAAGACTTCACTTTCCTAGATCTGCTTAGATACTGTTAAGGTATTAATTTATGTAAATATTGTGTAATTAGTAATTAGTGTAGTAGGCTGTGGTTGTTAGTTAGAGGCTAGAAGTCTCTAACATGTCTCACTTCTACCCTCCCCTCTCTTTATTTTGAGTTGAATACTGTCATGAGAATCCTGTTCACATTACCAAGATTAAACTGAAATATGGTTCTACATGCATACACTCACCACTTTTAATTTTTTATATAAAATCTTATTAAATTCTATTAATTATACAAACACAGTCCTTGCAATCTGAAAAGAACAATTCTCACCATCCAGTTTCAGGTGCATGCTTTGCCGAGGCATGCAGGTTTATAAAAAGACTGAAAGAATGATGCAAGGAGTGACCAATAATTTCTACTTCAAGAACAAGAAAAATAATTAGACCATACATTCCATTATGAATTAAGGATTCTCCGTACAAATGCTTCCTCACATACTTCTAAAATAAAACAGGAATTGAGATAGACACGGACAAATCGAGAAAATAAAATGGAAAAGAAAAGGAGAAATTAAAATGTAGGACACATCTTCTGTA